CACGCACACGCACACACACACACACACACACACACACACACACACTATCCTGGTGTGTTTCTCAAGCTACCGGGGCTGGGAGTTGAACTGTGGTTGACCATGTAGGAGCCATCTCCCTTAATCACTGTGCTATGGAGGCTGCCCCTAGTTTTTTTGTTGAACACTTTGAATATGTTATACCCACGCCTTCTTGTAGTGACTATTTTCCTTGGCATATCAGCTGCTAATCTTACTAGTCTTCACTTGTAAATGAGGTATTCTCTTGCTGCTTTCAAGGGTTTTATCTTGTTTTTGACTTCCAGCATTTTCACTGTGATGTGTATGTGTGTGGATCTCTCTGCATTTATCCTACTTAGACTTCCTGGGTGTGTAGGCTATTGTTTTCAATAAAGTTAGGAAGTGTTCAGCCATTATTTCTTTGGATATTTTTTCCTGCTCCTTTTCAATTTCCTCTCTTTCTAGTGTTCCTGTTATCACATGTTGATGTGCTTAACTGTGTCCCACATTTCTCTGAGACTCTTTTTCCTTTAAAGAAATATTTTATTTAAATTTATTTATTTACTTACTTATTTTAATTTGATCAGAGAGGGACAGAGCAAGAGAGAGAGAGAGAGAGAAGGAAAGTGAGAAAGCAAGTCGCCAGGCCTGGGACTTGAACTGTGGTCAGCCATGTGAGAGTCCAGCATCCTTAACCACCACGCCACCTGCCAGACCCTCTCTGAGGCTCTTTTCACTTTTTTTTCTCTTTGTTCTTTGGCTTGCATATAATCTCTTCAGATCTACCAGTTAGTTTACTCTTCTACCAGTACAAACCTACGGTTAAGTCGTGATGAAGTTATTTCAGTTACTGAGTTTTTTTTTTTTTTTTAAGAGAGTTTTTTTATGAAGTTTTTTTATTTTCTGAGTTTTTTTTTTTTTTTTAAAAGAGTTTTTTTTTTTTTTTTTTCCTATAATGTGTGTGTACTTTCTGGAGAGACAGAGAGACAGAAAGCAAAAAACCACCCCCTCAGGGAGGATGGCCATTCTGCAATCCCTTCTCTTCCATTCTTTTCATGAGACTTTGGGTGCACACACACACACACACACACACGCATCAGCGTGAGTTTTAAGCTGCCAGGTCTAGGACTCAAAACTGCTGTCAACAATGTGGGAGTCCAGTGACAAAACCATCATGCCATCTGCTGGTCCCATTTTTTAAAATTTTAAACAATTTTAATTTGCTAGATGGCACACACATTCACGAGAGAAGGAGAGAGGAGAGAGAGAGAAAGAGAGAGAAAGTGAGAAAGCAAGCCACCAGTTTGGGGACTTGAATGGCAGTTGGCTATGTGGGAGTCCAGTGCCTTGACTACCATGCCACTTGCTGGCCTGCTATTATGTCTTCCCCCCCTCCCCACCCCAGTTCTCCAGAGAAACACACAGAGCTAGAGGGAAAAAGCATCCCAAATGGGATATGGTCAAGCTGCAATCCCTTTTCTTCCTTTTCTCCATCCTGTCAGGATTTTAAGCATGCATACACATATGCTTGGTGTGTTTTTCAAACTGCCAGGGTCAGGACTTGAACCTCAGTCAGTCAGCTCCCTTACCTACTACACCACAGGACCAGCCCTAGTTACTGTACTTTTCAATTCCAAAATTCCTATCTGGTTCATTGTTGTAATTTCTCCATCCTGTCAGGATTTGGGGCACAAATGTTCAATATGTTTTCTGGGCTACCAGATATAGGATTTGAACCATGTGGTCAGACATGTGTTATCTAGGTCCCTAAGCACCAGCCTCCAAGGCTAGCCTTTCCTTCTTTTTGTTCTTTTGCCATAGGGCACGTGCATTTGCTGGAGAGAGAGAGAGAGAAACAGACAGACAGAGACAGTAAGAGGTAAATTGAGAAATCACCCCACAGGCGGCCTTGCCATATTGCAATCCCTTCTCTTCCATTCTCCTCTTGGGATTTTGGGATTTTGGGCACACAGATGCACACACACTCACACATACCTGGTATGAATTTCCAGCTGCTGGATCTGGGATTTGAACAATGGTTGGCCATGTGGGAGTCCAGTGCCTTAACCACTACACCACCTGCAGGTCCCTTTCCTCCACTTCTTTTTTTTTTTTTTTTAAAGAATTACTTTATTTATTGTCATTACTAGTTTTAAAAATTTGACCAGAGAAAAAGTGAGAAAGCAGCAAGCTGCCAGGTTTGGGACTTGAACTGCAGTGGACCATGTGGGCGTCCAGTGCCTTTATCACCATGCCACCTGCTAGCTCCTCTTTTACTTCTTGCATCATAGTTTTCTTTAGTTCTGCGAGCATGTTTACAATGGCTGCTTTGAATTCTTTTTTATGACATCTAGTCATTTTTACATGTAGTTTGTGTTAGCTCCTTATTTTAGTGTATGAGTCACACTTTCCTGTTTTTTGAATGTGTCCTATTTTTCCCTTGGAAGCTGGACATTTAAGATAATATACTGTAGCAACTCCCAGCACTTATTTTGTTTGCTTAGTAACTGGCAAGATTACTTTTCATGAAACTCATCTCTCTACTCCACTCCTCCTCCCCATGCAAACACACACACACACATACACACACACACACACACACACACACACACAGTTTTAAGCTTTTGATATTGCCACCCTGGGATAACTGGTTTTTGCGGGGCTCTCTTCCTCTGGTTAACACCCAGTTGTTACACTGCACTAATACCTGGCTGATGCTCTATCATTTTCAGCAATACCCTCGGTATAAATCACTCTGTAAATAAGTCCAATCAAATTTTGGCCCCTTTGAAGAAAGTTAATGAGGTCAATATTTAAGATTTATTCTTATCCTAGGAGAGATCCTACAGCTATTCTATTCTGTTTTTCTCCTACAAACTAACCAGTCTACAATTTAGCTTAATCTTTTTTTTTTTGGAGAGGTTTTCACTATAGGGCGCGTGCGCTTGCCAGAAAGACAGAGAGAGACAGAGAAATGGAAAGTGAGAAATCACCCCCCAGGGGGGATGGCCACTCCGCAATCCCTTCTCCTCCATTCTCCTCTTGGGATCTTAGGCACGCACGCACATGTGCCTGGTGTGTTTTAAGCCACCGGGTCCGGGACTTGAACTGTGGTTGACTACATGGGAGTCCAGCGACATAGCCATTACGCTAACTGCTGGTCCCAATTTAGCTTAATCTTAAAAAAAAAAAAAAAGTTTATTCGAGAGAGAGATAGATGCACACACACTGAAATCCTCGACAGGATCTTATGCCATGATTCCCTTTCCTCAGTCCTCTGGCTTGTCAAGATCTTCAGCAGGTGTTCAAAGCACATTCTCAGGTCGCCTGGAGATCTAAACCCATGGTGGATTCCAGACCACAGTTCAGTATGTTACCTTTGGTGCTTTCAGGCTGGGCCTAGCCTATAGCTTAAATATCTTCACAACTGTGTATTACGGCACGTTCCACCATTTTTTTTTAGAATACTCTTTGCCTTGAACTTTTCCATGTTCTGTTGCAAATTATGTCAGTTCCTTTGGGAAGAGCTTTTGTTTATTTCAAAACATGCATTTATGTACTGGAAGTTGGAAGATGTCACGTAGAAAAGGCAGTCATGTATTTTTTTTTTCTTTATAAAATAGTGGATATGGTCTCCCCCCCAAAGCTGTAGTACATCTAAAAAGTGATGTGGGTTTAATCCTTCACTTAAGATAATTCAGCATTATCAGTTTTTAAAGGAAACACAAATACTCTGGAAAGAAATCAGTCTGCTTTAACAAACTGTATTCATGCTAATGAAATTTTAATCTTCTTTAAGGGTTATGGCCAAAATCCAAATCCAAATATCATCAAAGGACCATCTCTAGAAAATTGGAATGTAAAAATCTTGTGTTCAATTTAGCTATCATCAGTGTCTTCCTCATCTTCTTCAAGGTCATCAAATTGAATTTCATCATTTCCATGTCTAAGTTGCCAGTTGTATTGATTTTTAGCATACTCACCATACGTCAGACTCTGGCTTCATCTGCGTTGTATTCTTTTTTTTTTTTTTAAGAGGTTTTTGCTATAGGGCACATGTGCTCACCAGAAAGACAAAGAGAGAGACAGAAAGCGAGAAATCACCCCCCCCCCCAGGGGAGATGGCCTCGCCGCAATCCCTTCTCCTCAATTCTCCTCTCGGGATCTTGGGCATGCACTGCAGTCGACTACATGGGAGTCCAGCGACATAGCCATTATGCTAAATGCGGGTCCCCTCATCTGCATTGTATTCTAAAATTATACTAGGTTGGTTATGCTATGAGCCCATGCTCACTAGCAACAAATGTAATATATATCCTTTGGAAAGAGATGAAATGCTGTTGTATGGGCTGCTTCCCCCCCCCCCCCAGGCACAATTTCTGAACCTGGGATAGACCAATGGCAAGTCTCCTGAGTCCCATCTCTGCTCTGGGAGCTCAGGTGGAGGAAAAGGATTAGAGCCCAAGGGTCCTCTCAACTTTCTCTGGGCACTGAACATCACTGCAGAAACTCCAGTAGGGGTGCTCAGGACCCCAGTATTCTCAGCGCTCCAGCTCAAGTACAGCTTCAGTTCCATGTGTGGGGCTTGGACGGAAGGGTTTCCCCACCTCTTGAACACACTCCTCTAGGACTTAGCCTTAGCATCGGGTAGCAAGGGTCCAGAAGAGAAGTGCTGTGTCCAGTCCCTCTAGTACTGTGGGCAGAGCCTATACTGTGTTTTCGGTTGAAGCAGCTGCGTGTGAAGTTTCTAACATGGGGAAGGGAAGAAGAGGTGTTGGTTCAAACAACGCAGACTCTGGCTCTCTTACCTGAAGGGTTTCAGTACATTTTTTCCCCCTTAATCGATGTTTATTCACTTGTTGTTTGCCTTTAGGACCATTTCCAGGGGCTTTACCATAGTTGTTTGTTGTTTAAGTAACTTCTCCAGTTTCTTTGGGTGGGTAAGCAGAGTTCTTCCTACTACCAGGTCGGCAGTCAATCCCTCTTGGTATCATTCTTGTGACTTTCCTGTAAGTTTAAAATGATTTCTACAACAGTTAAGGAGTTTAAAAACATCACAAGGGATTAGTTATTGGGAATAAACAGGTTAAAATGTAAAAGCACATTTACTTGTGCAAGTCCCCATACATCCGTAGTAAAGGATGTTGGTGTTGATAACCAGAGCTACTTTCCGCATTCTCAGAAATACCAAGTCACTGAGCGAAACAGGAAGCGGCTTGTTTTTCACTGGGGAGGTTTGCAACTCGAAGGGACCCCTGGAAAGTGTGGTCGCTAGGCCTAACACGACGAATATCATCGGTGTCAGCTCTGCAGGGTGACACGTCCGGGCAGGCGGAGGCCACTGGAGGCAGCGTGTGCGTAGCCATCGCCCAGCTCCACGCCCGCTTCCCGGTTTTCGGTTTCCTGGCCTCCATCTTGCCTGCGCCTTTCGGGTGACACCGGAGTGAAGGCGACCAAGCAAGAGCGCCCTTGGCCCATGGTACGTGCACGTGCCCCGCGCTCGACCCCGCTGCTCGCGCACTGCGGGCCCCTCACCTGCTGTGCCCGAGCTGCTCAGACCCAAAAGCCGACTCCCGCTTCCGTGTTGGCTGCGCAGCTGGCCCGGCGCCCCCCTCCCGGTCGGGCGCTGCCCGCAGCACACCCGCGCAAACGCGAACTGACCGGGGGGTGCAGGGCGCCGGCAGGGGCCAGGGGAGGGGTGGGCCCTCGGGCAGGTGACTCAGCCCTGTGGGCTGCTGATCCTGTTTGCCCGCAGCTCAACGGAGTGGTTCGACCGCGAGGTCACCTTTGGCCAGCAGTGCCACCCTTGCATACTGAGAGGTGAAGCAGCTGCGAGCTTTGGTGGCCGGTCCCCAACCACCGTATAAACTTGACTGAAGATGAACTTTGAGAGTTGCTCAGTTCTGTGGGGTGAACTGTTTAAAAGATTTGGCAGATTTTCCTTGCGAAAAGTTGACGAGAACGAGGACTTTTGCTGTGGGGTGGGGTGGGGTGGTGGTGGTGGTGGTGGTGTGCGCGCTGTCTCTGGCGCCGCTGATCTGGCCGGAAATTTTACTCTTTCGCAATGGCCTGGTAAACTAGGACAGGTTATTTCCCAGAGAGGTTTAGTGTCTATTTTTTGGCAAAGTTAGAAACGCTTTATTAGGAAGTTTTTAAAGCCTGAGGGTAAACCTAGGCCTGCCCCTTTTTCTCCACCAGATTTCTTTCCTTCTTCTTTTCTTTGTTCTTTTCTTTCTTTCCGGAGACAATCCCTTCTCCTTTCTCCTCTTGGGATCTTGGGCACGCATGCACACGCACCCGTCGTGAGTTTAAGCCACCGGGTCCGGGACTCGAACTGCGGTCGACTATGTGGGAGTCCAGCTACATAGCCATTACGCTAACTGCTGGTCCCCTTTCTTTCTTTCTTTTGAGAGGTTTTTGCTATAGGGCCCGTGCGCTCACCCAAGAGGCAGAGCCAGAGAGACAAAGCGAGAAATCACCCCCCAGGGGAGATGGCTACACCACAATCCCTTCTCCCATTCTTCTCTTGGAATCTTGGGCGCGGTGCGCACAATGCACGGCATGAGTTTAAGCCACCGGGTCCAGGACTTGAATCGTGGTCGACTACATGGAAGTTCAGCGACATAGCCATTACGCCAATTGGTGGTCCCTTCCTCCACCGTTTCAAAAGAACAGAGAACTGTTAAGAGGATTTCAACATGTTCTTGCTTGATTGTGTCCGGATTTGGACAGAAGGGCATGTTCTTTCAATATTGAAAGAGGAATGCAATGCAGCAAAGGCCACTGTGACTCAGAATACTGTTTTGGTTCAAGGGAGCAAGCAGGAAGTAAGTTCAAAGACACTAAAGCTAAGATAAACTGACTTTTGAAATTTGTCCTTGGCATTGAGGGTGAAGCCAGTAGGGGGGACACGGTAAACTAAAACGAAACTAAATCCGGGGGATTTGACCTGCTTTAGATTTAAGAGATTTCAGATAAGAGGAGCGGAATTTTTGGTTCTTTCCCCACTTGTGAGTTCCCTGAATAATCTTACAAAAGAGTTTTGTTGAACCAGAAACTTGGCTCGTCTCCAAAGTGAGGGGGTGGGGGGTAACTGGTTTGGAAGAGAATTTGAAGTGTGTTTGCCACACAGACCTTTCTTTCCTGTCCTTTTCTTCTCTCTCCTCTTTTTCTTTTTTCTTTTTGAGCTAATCCTTGTTTCACGTATAGCTTTCCGGTTAAAAATCCTGGCTGAAATGGCCTTTTGCAGCGACTTGAACGTTTGTGTGTGAGTAACATTTGCACTTCCTTTAACACTGAATCACTTAAGCCTGTCTGCAGTCGGGCTCCACCTACAGGTCCGCTGGCATACAGAGTGTAACTCCGCCCCGACTCTGGCTTGGCTAGGGGTTTGGAGTGGGATCGGTCGCGCACAGTGTTCTAAGCTTCGGCAGGTGTCCCAAAGGAGCGGAAACGCACATAAGTTTGGACCTGGACCTCTCCTCCAGAGTGACGGGGCGCGGTGGCAGCGTTCACCCAGACTTAGTGGCTGGCGGACCGCATGAAAACTCCCCTGGTGCCGCGTGGGCCTTTGGCCACACAAGGGGTTTTTCTGTCTCCGAGAGGGACGAATGCGTGGTCATGTGCGAGTTTCTACAGCGCTTGGCTGGGGGGATTGCGCAGGACCGGACTGCTGTGCCTGGGCAGCACGTCACCAGGAGGAGGCGTGGAAGGGGCGTTCTGGGTCTCTATAGGCAGAGGTCTCAGGACGTTCCTGGACGAGGCCTTTTTAATTCTGGCGACGCTTTTCCTCAGTTTTTCGTCCAGGAGGGAGCACGTCCCCAAACTCTTGACTGTCCGTCCCAGAGTGTCCGGCGAGGGTGGGCGTCTTTGCGGGAAGAGATCCAGTGGAAAGAGCCGGCGGCTGCTCCGGCGTGAGTAGACCAAGAACCTTGCCCGCCCCTCTTCTCCCGCCCCCTGTCCCTGGGCTGGGTTAGCCCTGGACTCGGGATGTCGGGGCGCTGTCCCCTGATCCCTGCAGGAAAGGATTGAATCTTTCGCTTTCTGCCTTTTGGTTCCTTTCTTGGGCCACCTGGAGAGTCACTCACAGCACTCCGAGGCGTGTCGCTCTTTAAAATCAAGGAATGGACTCGTTTTGGAGATGGGGATGCCTTTGAAGTTTTCATAGTCCCCCAAGGGCTAATTAAACTCGTGTTTATGGACTAAAATGCCTCCTTGCCTTTAATTCAGTATCATCCTACCTACCTTTATTGAACTCCTTTGGGCCAGGCAGGATCTGGACGTGAACCCCAACTTTGCTTGCTGTGGTAACCTCACGGTGTGGTTGGGGAGACCCAGCAGAGAGTTACCTGTCAGGTAACTTGGAGACAAGGGGTCTACACTGGTTCAGCCTGATTGCAGGAGGAAGCCTGCTGGGTGAAGTCAGTGCTGCTCACACGCGTTCTGGCTTTACTTACTGTGAATCAGTAAGGTGAAAAGTATGCTCGTAGCCCCATGTCCCTTATATTCCATTCCCATCATCTCCAGGAAGACTTGACAACCTACCCTTCGCCGCTTTCCTGCGCTCCCTGGTTGTCTTTTACTTCCACAGGATTGCACTTTACACTCTATTGCCAGATGTTTCCTTTAAAAACTAAGTCAAGTTGCATTAGGTACAGAAGACAGAGAAAGCCCTCAGGAGTCCATTCCTTAGAGATAACCAGAGGTTGCAGTTTAGTCTCTTTCAGACAATTTTGCCCTTAGATACAGACTTTTAAGTAATATGTGTGTGGGGGCCCACCCACCCCCACCCCTTACTTTGTGTGATGCTAGTTCTCCAAACTATTTCAGAACTGGTGTTGGTTCCATTAGTAGCTATTTTTGTTTGTTTGCTTGTTGTTTTTTTTTTTTTCCCACGTGTGACTTCAGTCCCCCTTGGCATCAGTATAATAATGAAAGATTTCTTTTTTTCTATTGGCCGTTTTTCTTGTTTTTGAGAATGCATGTATCTGCAGTTACGTTTCATTTATCTGCTTATTCAGATGCTCTGAATGTTTTTTTGCCTCCTTTTCTTGGTTTAGAAAGATAATTTTTTTCTTTGACTCTATGTATGCATGAAAAAATATCCTTGAATATTTTCTTTCCGGATAAAATTGCCTCTTTTTCTACACTTTGTATCTTGTTCTGTGTTTATGTATCTTTGATGATCTCCATTTTTGGCCAGTTGTCATTTATGGCAACTCAGTACTTTTTTTTTTTTTTTTAAGAGAGATTTTACTATAGGGCCAATGCGCTCACTGGATAGACAGAGAGAGACAGATAGATATAAAGTGATAAATCACCACCAAGGGTTATGGCCATGCTGCAATCCCTTCTTCTCCAAATCTTCTTGGAATTTGGGGCATGCACGCATGCACACGTGCCTGGTGTGAGTTTCAAGCCACTGGGTCTGGGTCTCGAACTTTGGTCTGCCTAGTGAGAGTCCAGTGATGTAACCATTTCTCCATCTGCTGATCCCACTCAATATTTTTAATGAAAAACTAAGCTCCATCAATTCAATACCATATTCATCTGCATAGTCTATATGGTTTGTGTCTTCTGCAGTGAACTCTTCAGTTGGAGAAGTGAATCCATCATTACCTGTAACTATTATCTGTATACCTCAGTTTTTCAATGTAATCCACAAATTATCTTGTCCCTACTTGTTGCAAGGTTTAAAGAATTTCCCAGGGTAATGACTTCCTTCATCATCTGACGACAAATGGAACCAAAGTTGTCTTACGTACTTGAGAAACTCTTGAGTTTTTTCCTTTTTTTTTTTTTGATTTTTCCCTTTGACTGATACATCTGAAAGCTTCTATCTAAGATAAACTTTCAAAAGAGGACAGATTTTAAAGTTATTGGTCTTTGTTTTGATTAGGCACTTGACATATCTTGCTTGAATACTGTCTGACCAGTGAACCAAAGTCCCTGCAACCATGACTCAACTTGATTCAGAGTTGAATAAAAATTAATTAATTTAATTTCCAGCATTGACTATGTATCTGCTGATGCTAGGGAATGAGAGAACAGAGAAGATCTTTTGTGCTCTCTTTCTAGTTGAGAAAGCTCAACTTTCTAGTTGAGAAAAAGGTAGAAACAAAAGTGATGCTTGAAACTTTGGCTGTGGGGTCAGCAGGTGCTCTGGTGGTTGAGGCACTGAATTCCCACATAACTGACTGAGGTGCAAGTCTCAGACCTAGCGGCTTGAAAATCTCGCCACCTGATTTCTCGTACATGCAGGCCCAAAATCCCAAGAGGAGAACGGAGGAGAAGGGATTTGGTGTAGCCATATCCTCTGGGAGGGTGATTTCTCACTTTTCCCTCATTCTGTCTGGTGAGTGTACATACCCTATGGCAAAAACCTAAAAACAAACAAACAAACAAAAAACCTTGGCCATGATATGTTACTGAAACTCGAGAGTTTGTATTTTTATACAAAATAACTTGAGTTCTCTACCC